AAAAAGTTAAAAATCCAGAAATAGTCCTAATTTTATGATGGTTCCTTAATATATTTTAACTACATTGCATTTGAGTATGGAGAGGCAACTATCTGGAAGTATTTTACATAAAAAATTTACTAAGTATTGCCCGGTTTGTAGTTGCAGTTAAAGAAAACACATGAAAAGGCACGATTTTTTTTAAATTCGAAAAAATGTAAATATTTCAAAAACGGTGACACTTTTACCTGAAAATTTTTTGTTTATCAGTGAGCTCACCCCCCCACCTACCTTGCCCTAAAGTTTGGCACGTTACTTCTGGGACACCCTGTATAAGAAACGTATAGAAACAAACGTAAATATATTTTATGTGCACGAGACATATCATATTTCTTATATACAAATTATGCTCTCCAACGAAATCTTCCTAAAATACTTGAAAACTTCACATGAAGGAAACTTTTACTTGCGGAAGTTTCACAACGTAGTACTCCTCTTTTATGTTCCTCTCTTTTTCGGAACATATTTTTGTCGCGTACTTTAATTAGTTACTCGACGCTTAGCGACTATACTTCTCTTCACTATCCGCGCTCTCAGTGGGAGGAAGAGAAGGATGTGTATTCGCTAGAAAACTTCAATATGAAGCCAACTATCTTCCGATGCAGACCTCTAATATATATATATATGGGTCCTTATGTTGTACAGAAAGTAGACGGTGTAAATGTTACTGTTTTCGATAAAACCAAGAATAAATTAGAAACGGTTCACATAACCCGAATCCATAAAGTCACTTAAAGACATTTTTATGAATTCTATTTTGCTCAATTAAGCAACTGCATACTTTTTTTCTATTTTGAGGAAATTCTCAAATTTAACCAAATTTAACCTTCCACGTCATATATTCAAAAATGATATAGTTAATAAAAACGTGTATTAAGCTATTGACTTCATTTGGAAAATATATATGGGATGTTCCACGGAACAAAGACAAGGCTTCTAAACAAAAATTGTGTTGATGGATTTAAGATTAATGGCTTAAAAGATTTGTGCAATTGTCTTCTCTTGAATGCTGAGTGGCGTTTCTTCGAAAATTTCAAATAACGATGCCAATATAGCGGATAAATGGCATTAAGTTCGAAAACTTTCGAATCCTGGAAAAACTGAAATTATTCTCAAACTCCTTATCCAACAGTTTTTCGTGTCCCTGAATACACATCTAATGCTACATTTTTTTAATTGAAAATGGCAATCCAAAGTGGCGGATAAATTTTTGGAAATCGACTGGATGGGCTTGAAATTTCTTGTTCGAGGGTTTTTGGGATCGCTGATTACAAATTGGAAGTTATTTTTTACAAATGCAAAATGGCGGATCCAAAATGGCGGAGATATTTTTTAGAAATCGACTGGACGTGCTTGAAATTTCTTGTCTGGGGGTTTTTAGGATCGCTGATTACAAATTGGAAGTTATTTTTTAGAAATTTAAATTGACGGATCCAAAATGGCGGAAAAGTTTTTGTAAATCGACTGGATGTGCTTGAAATTTCTTGCACGGGGGTTTTTGGGATCGCTGATTTCAAATTGGAAGTTTTTTTTTTTAGAAATTCAAAATGGCGGATCCAAAACAGCAGACAAATTTTTAGAAATCAACAGGATATGGTGGAAATTTCTTGTTTGGTTTGGTTTTTGAGATTCCTGCTTACAAATTCGAAGTTATTTTTTAGAAGTTCAAAATGGCGAATCAAAAATGGCAGACAATTTTTTGAAAATTTATGGAAATTGGTCGAAACGTTTCTCGGAGGTTTTTTTGGTCGCTGATTACGAATTTTAAGTTACTTTACGGAAATTTGAAATCGCTGTTTCAAACTAGTGAACAAACTTTGGAAAATTATTTCGGCGGGCCGAATGAATGGCCGTCCTAATCCTCAGTTCCGAGTCTATTCAGTTTGGATTGGGGAAAAGGGGAGTATAAAGGAATCAAAATTTAGAAAAGTAGCCATTGGTGAGCAGGTGCTGGTGCCGCTTTTCTCTCAAAGTGTTTACCGCTGGTAAACCCAAAAGTAAAAAATTTAAAAACTAATTAATAAAATTAAAGTAAAATCTGTGGAAAATTAACAATAACAAAATCTCTAAAGGACCCTTTTATATTTCAAAAACCTGGGTAACAGTTATTCGTCGCCACCCTGTACATCAAAATTTAGGAAAATATTTCGGTTGTTTATACCCGAATTTTTCCGAATTTGCCAACTTCATTTTTAAAATTTTTGCGCGCACTCATTACACTGTGCGGCGCAGTCCCTTGGATCGCAGCTATCAATATTCCATGTCCACCATTAAGACGGTTCCCTCCTCGATCTTGCTCTGGAGTCCATTACAGTTAAATTGTAATATTTTCGTGTGCCTTGGGAGACTAATCGCAAAGCAGGGTGTGAAGTGTGGTGTTGCCTGCCAGGCATTTGTGTATGCTGTTGTTGGAGGTGCTGCCTTGTGGTTTTAGTAGGCGGCGTCGCGGAATATATTTGCGATTGCGCAGCTCTGTAACATAGGGCCTTGAAAGTTGCTGGTCCATTCTCGAGTGGTGCGCAGACCTGAACATGCCCTAAAGTGGCACCATCCAAGGCAAGAGTTGAGTTTGACTGATATCGCATTACGGTATATCCTGGACCAATACACCAAACAGAATGTGAGGAACTAGGAGCTGTTGATATATCCACGCCCGTGGATTGCGGCGGCGTGTGGGAGAGGGTGTGGTTATGTTGACATGTTAGAGTTGTGTTGCTTCTGAGGTCTGAGCAGGTTCTGAGGTGACTCCATCCATATTGCACCTAACTGAGTGGAGTTTGGGTGTAATATTCCCCGGTATTCGCTGCAGGTATAGGTTTCTGGTCCAGGGTTTGATTCGATGCTAGTTCCAATGTGCTTGTTCGGAGCAGCAGCGGATAAGCCAGCAACATAAAATATGTTTATCAAAATCAATATGAATAACGTTATCTGATCACACTGAAATTTTCATACTCAATTGAGCTGCATATTTACTTGTATGTATTTAAACTGTGCTAATTTTGTTTCCCCTTTATACTATGTATAAAGCATACGTATATACATACATACATATATGTATGTGCATACGTACCGCCCGCGCTCAGTTGGATACATTCGTATGCAAGCAAGCGAAAAATAGTACATATGTATGTAAGCAATATTGTGTGCGCGGGTGCATACGTGCATAAATATATATATGTAAATTCTCATGCATTTAAGAAAACTGGTTTTCTATTGTTGGTGATGAATTTGCAGTTATCCAATGTAATTAGGACATACTTAAATAGTTCAAGGTGAACTTTCTGTTAGTTAGTCGCGGACCAAATCTTGTTAAATACAGTTGCTTAACTTATGCATACATCGTTTGTTTTATTTTAATAGCTGCTAAAAAGGCTTAGTAGCTCAACATTTGGTGACCCCGACGTGATCGTATCACGCGATTTTTCGTTTGTTTCCGGCCGCTTACTGAGATAATTCTGCCACACTAGTGTAAACGTCAGCAACTTCGTCATGCCAGGGGAAGGTGCAGATCGAGTAGCCTTTCTAAAGCTGAAAACAAAGGCCATATTCAGCAGACTGGAGAGCTTGATTAACGAGTTGGACGCAGACAAGCTACACAGTATGGATGAGTACAGTCTTTCAGCAATGCTAGAATCCTTAGGCGAATTGAAATCCAGTTTTTCTGCCGCACACACAAGCCTAGAGGAATTGGACTTCGACTCCATTGCCAGCGACCTGCCAAGTAACTTCGATGCTGCTCTAATCAACCTTAGAGCTACACTGCAACGCGAGATTGGTAAACGTAGTGCCTCGCAACATTGCTCCACGCTCAGAATGAACTCCAGTGAGACCCAATCAATCATTGTGAACGCTAATAGCTCACGCTTGCCATTGCTGACACTGCCTAAATTCAGTGGCGCCTACACCGAGTGGACAAATTTCTATTCAATGTTCACGTCAATAATCGACAAGGACAGCGACCTCACCAACATCGACAAATTGCAGCATCTTCGTTCCTGTCTGAGCGGCGCTGCCCTTGACACCGTGCGCTCGCTGGAAATAAACGACGCTAATTATAACACTGCATTAGATCTTTTACAAAAGCGCTTCGATAACAAACGTCTTATATTTCAGGCACACGTCAGGGAGATATTTGGGCTAGAGAGGGCAGATTCAAACGTAACCAAGCTACGAGAGCTGACAGATAAGGTCACAGCACACATACGCGCATTGCAGTCGCTCGCATCCAATGGGAAGATCGCAGATGGCATCATCGTACAATTGGTGATCCAGAAACTCGACAAAAAGACGCAAGCTAAATGGGAGGAGAGTTCATCGATCAGCGAACTGCCATCCTGGGATCAATTAGCTATGTTCTTGGAGAAGCGCTGCAGAACACTCGAGAACGTTGAGCATTCTATGCAGACACCGACTGGTCAGGCGGTAAAAGCTAACAAGAACGTGAGTACTGGTCAGAGGAAATCCTTTGTTGCTTCCAACGGCTCAAAAGGTGTTTGTGTGTTTTGTGGATCTGCCGAGCATGCAATTTATAGCTGTCAACGCTTCGCAAATTTGTCTCCGAACTTACGCCTGAGGGAAGTTAAGAAGCTTTCCCTTTGTCTTAACTGCCTAAAGACTGGGCATCAAATTCGTGACTGCAAATCCGGATCGTGCCGCGCCTGTCAGTCGAAACACCACACGCTCTTGCATTTCGAACGCTCAACTGCATCGTTAATCAATAGTCAAGCCGAAGCTTCGTCGGCAGCTACAGTTCAATCCAACGCTATGACTGCATCGTTATCTGTGTCGCCTAGTGCCCCAGTATCTCCTTCTGATGCTGTGTTCCTAGCTACTGCCGTCGTTCTGGTAAAAAATCGTGCTGGAAGCTTCGTGCCTTGCAGGGCGCTTTTAGATTCTGGCTCCCAGTTACACTTTGTCACAACTCGCCTTGCAAACCAATTGCAGCTTGTAAAAGCAAAATCTTCTGCTACAGTATCTGGCATTGGAGATGCCAATTTCTCAACGGAGGGTTACTCAGTCGACCTCGTACTGAAGTCGCGGACTTCAGATTTCTCAACAAACATAACAGCTGTTGTTGTGCAAACCATAACCGACAACCAGCCTGGCTGCTCCGTGAGCACCAACGAGTGGAATGTTCCGTCGAATATACAACTAGCTGATCCTGGGTTCAACTTACCGCAGCGAATTGATCTGCTCATTGGAGCAGCATTGTTCTTCGATCTGCTATGTGTGGGGCAGATACGCTTGGCATACGGTTTACCACTCCTTCAGAAAACACGCCTCGGTTGGGTGCTATCTGGAGGGGGGCAACAAGCTCCAAAACTATCATCTTTTGTGGTGCGACGGAAGTCCTCCAGTGATATTATTTCCACTCGGTTGGAAGATTTAGTGCGTCAGTTCTGGGAAATAGAGCACAACTTCGAGCCGATCTCTAAGGCCTCCCAAGAAGATATCGACTGCGAAGCCCACTTCCGGGAAAATTATTTGCGATTGTCATCAGGCGAATACTCAGTTCGTCTTCCCATGAAGCGTGGTGTGGAGGCCCTTGGAGACTCCTATTTGCAAGCTCGTCAACGCTTCGAAAGTCTTGAACGAAAATTCGCTCGTAACCCTGAGCTTAAAACAGAATATAGTAAGTTCATAAAGGAATATCTGGACCTTAATCACATGTCGCTAGTTACCAATGAGGTTTTTCAACAATGCAAGTATTTTCTGCCGCATCATTGCGTCATCAAGGATGACAGTAGCACAACAAAGCTGAGAGTGGTTTTTGATGGCTCTGCATCCACTACTTCGGGCTTTTCGCTGAACGACCTACTCATGGCAGGCCCAACTATTCAGCCGAAACTTTTTAATATCCTTATTAGATTTCGTACTTTTCCCATAGCACTTACTGGGGACATCTGTAAGATGTATAGGTGTGTTCGCGTCACCCCACCAGATAGCATGCTCCAATGCATATTGTGGCGTGAATCTCCTCAGGAAAACTTTGCCATCTATAAGTTAGACACGCTGACTTATGGAACTAAGCCTGCGTCATTTCTGGCCATACGTGCCATGCACCAACTCGCAGCTGACGAATCCTCGACTTACCCCATTGGTGCAGAAATAGTGCGTCGAGACTTCTACGTAGATGACTTGATATCTGGAGGCGATTCGATGGAAGAAGTACTGAATATCAAGCTACAAACAACTAGCCTCCTTGCTCGAGGAAACTTTAAGTTACGCAAGTGGTGCTCTAATAGTCCAGATATCCTTCGTGATATACCTGACGTAGACAAGGAACGTTTCCTTAAGTTTGACGATGGCAGTGACATCACCAAAGCTCTGGGACTAGTTTGGGATCCGGTCAAGGACAAGCTGCTATTTTCGTTTGTGCCACAACGAGAACTCGGTAAAAACTCAAAACGCTCTGCGTTGTCTACTCTAGCTCGCTGTTACGATCCCCTTGGACTAATGGGCCCTACGCTGACCAAGGCGAAGATTCTTCTGCAACGCATGTGGAGAGACAAGCTTGAGTGGGATGAGAGTCTACCGCAATCGTTAAACACCGCCTGGTCTGCCTTTTGCAGCGGGTTTGCAGACATACAGCACCTATCATTTCCTCGTTACGTCTTGCAACCTGGGGCCATTACAGAAATTCATGCATTTTGCGATGCAAGCCTTGAAGCTTATGGGGCTTGCGTTTATACGCGTTCAGCCAAGGATAGTAAGGTACAAGTGCACCTGTTGTGTTCGAAGGCCCGTGTCGCTCCACTGAAGACTATCACCGTGCCCAAGCTGGAACTCTGTGCAGCAACACTGCTGGCACAACTCATGGGTGAGTTTACAAAAATGAAGCTTTTTAACTGTTCATTTCATTGTTGGTCAGATTCCTCCACTGTCCTCTCGTGGCTGCGAGAAGAACCATCGAAATTTAACGTATTTGTCGCTAACCGAATTTCCACCATACATCAATTAACGGAGGGCATGCGGTGGCACTATGTTCCGACAGCAATGAATCCGGCGGACATTTTATCCAAAGGAGCTACCCCGCAGGAACTTCTAGGATCTTCACTTTGGATGCACGGCCCGTCATTTTTGCGAGAAGTGGAGGGCAGCTGGCCGCGCATGTGTCTACCACAACCAAAACTTCCAGAACTTCGACAAAAGGTGTTGCTTGCCGCACATAACCGCAATGACATTTCGCTTTCGTTCAAGTACATTAATTCATTTGGAACAATGCAGCGCATTTTTGGGTACGTCAGCAAATTTGTCAATATTACAACATCGCCAAGCTCTTCGCAGCTCACAGCCGCAGATATTCACCATGGAACTCAACTGCTTATTCGCTTAGTACAAAGAGCGCAACTTTGGCCGGAGTACACGGCATTACAGGCCAATAATTGCGTCCCGAGTTCGAGCAGCATTGTTTCGCTATCACCATTTCTTGATGACTTTGGAATTATTAGAGTCGGCGGGCGATTAAAAAACTCTATGCTTAGTTTTGAATCGCGCCACCCATGCATTATTCCGAAGGATCATCCACTGACATTTAGTATAATAACCTTTTTTCATCGCAAACAACATCACGCAGGTCCTCAAGCTTTACTCGCCTTCATTCGAATGCAGTTTTGGCCCATAGGTGGTCGGAAAACAGTCACTCGAGTCCTACAAAAATGCATTATTTGCTGCAAATCGAGACCGCGCCTTGTCGAGCACATAATGGCCGACCTGCCTAAAGAGCGAATTCAGGCCTCGCGCCCATTCATAGTCACCGGTGTGGACTACTGTGGGCCATTTTATTACAAGCCTGAAGTACGCAATAAATCGCCCCACAAATGTTATGTAAGCGTTTTCATTTGCTTCGCCACAAAGGCTGTATGGATGGAGTTGGTAAGAGACCTCTCAACAGGTGCTTTCATTGACGCGCTAAAACGATTCATCGCTACGCGTGGCATACCCAGCTGCATCTGGTCTGACAATGCGACGAATTTTGTAGGCGCCAAGAACGAGCTTAAAGAACTACGGAACTTAGCCCTCAGCGAGAAACACCGCAGCGAAGTCCACAACTTTTGCCTCAGTAATGGCTTTGATTGGCGTTTCATCCCACCTCGCTCTCCGCACTTTGGCGGTTTGTGGGAAGCGGCCGTAAAAACAGCCAAACAACATTTCTATCGTTCCGTTGGCTCATCACTGCTTGGCTTCGATGAATTGCGTACTTTGGTATGTCAAATCTGTGCTGTAATTAACTCTCGTCCTCTCGTACCCCTTTCAGAAAACCCAGAGGATTTAGATGTGCTAACGCCAGGCCATTTTTTGATTGGTGGTTCTCTGACAGCTCTTCCGGAACCGGATCTAACGACGCTAAACTACGACCGACTTGATCGATGGCAGCGTGCAACATACATTAAACAGGTTTTTTGGAAGCGGTGGACTCAAGAGTATCTAACTCTTCTACAGCAACGCGCAAAGTGGCGTTTACCTCATGCCAACATTCAAGTCAATGATGTCGTATGCATAAAGGAAGAAAACTCACCACCACTGAAGTGGCCTCTAGCACGGGTAATCGAAGTTGTCCCTGGAGCAGACGGTGTCGTACGTGTGGCACTTTTAAAAACATCTAGCGGCATAACGCGACGAGCCGTGAACAAGCTGTGTGTCCTCCCGGTGAAGGATTCTGTTGAAAGCCCTGACCTTTCAACGGGGGGGAGGATGTTCGGAGCAGCAGCGGATAAGCCAGCAACATAAAATATGTTTATCAAAATCAATATGAATAACGTTATCTGATCACACTGAAATTTTCATACTCAATTGAGCTGCATATTTACTTGTATGTATTTAAACTGTGCTAATTTTGTTTCCCCTTTATACTATGTATAAAGCATACGTATATACATACATACATATATGTATGTGCATACGTACCGCCCGCGCTCAGTTGGATACATTCGTATGCAAGCAAGCGAAAAATAGTACATATGTATGTAAGCAATATTGTGTGCGCGGGTGCATACGTGCATAAATATATATATGTAAATTCTCATGCATTTAAGAAAACTGGTTTTCTATTGTTGGTGATGAATTTGCAGTTATCCAATGTAATTAGGACATACTTAAATAGTTCAAGGTGAACTTTCTGTTAGTTAGTCGCGGACCAAATCTTGTTAAATACAGTTGCTTAACTTATGCATACATCGTTTGTTTTATTTTAATAGCTGCTAAAAAGGCTTAGTAGCTCAACAGTGCTTTTTACCCAAAAATCCACATCAACTCACGAGTCTTATATGAAAGCGAATGTACAATTTCAATTTCAATTTATTAAAGTGTACCCATTTGTGCATTAAGATGAGATCTTTTTTTGCACAATAATATAACAATAAAGTATGAGTATAATTCCATTTTTAAATACATATGTACATAAGTTAAGAGTTTCAAACGCGAATTGTTGTTGCACGTTTCGTTTCAGCTCTATGACCAAGTCCTACAACCACTTGTGGCTAACAACTCTCCGACGTCCTTACATATACATTTTCCCTTTAGGTGTATAACAGTTTATATTGGCTTAAAAATATCATCATTACATTCATACCTTGTGTAGTTTTCATGCAATGCACTCCGCTGCGGCCTAGTTTTGCGCGTACGACGCGATCTGTACCAGAAAGGTAGATATATCTTTGGCCCGCTAATGTGACACCATTGCTTGTTAGCAGATCTTGTTGGTCAAATCCTGCAATTAATTTTGCCAACTCCTCTTTTGTAATCTGCAAAGAATAACATACAAAATTTTAAAATATTATTATACATTAACAAATGAAAAAGTGGAACAAAAGCAACAAGAATCCACAAGGCGAACTTAGCACAGTGCGTAGGCAACTGGCTGAGTCGGTGGGATCGTCGGTTCGAATCCTACTGAAAGAAGTCTGATGAGGAAATGTGGTGATTTTCGAAATAGCTATCACTTCTACCATTTTTTTCAAATTATTGTTGCTTTTCCACAATAAGTTTTCACTAAAAACGGCCTCAAGCTCATAAAAATTGTTGAATATAATTGTTATAAGGCCATAAAA